CTGTCCCTCAGCTCTTCAGCTCAAGGCTAGCACTCTACCACTTGAGCCACAGCACCACTTCCGGCTTTTTTCTTTTTGCTTATGGGGTGCTGAGGAATGGAACTCAGGGCCTCAGGCGTGCAAGGCAAGCGCTCTACCACTGAGCCACCTTCCCAGCCACAACTTCCTTTTCTTGAGCCTAGATTTGGTGTGTCTGGTTGGACAATTTGCTGACTGGACACCTAGAAGGCCATGGGACGTGGGCCAAGACGGTGACTATTCTCAAAGGCATCCATCCCATTTGTATTTGGGAACACCACCTGGGATTTGAAATGCCACCTGGGACTTCAGGTTGGGACCAGCCACGCCTCTCTGGCCTTGTAATCCTGAGTCACTGTGAGCCAAACACGCTATTTGGCCCCCACATACTCTGTGCACTTACCTCAGCATTACAAGCTTCAGTCAGGGTTGAAAGCTTTCCTGAAGCTGTGCATGATGAGATTATTTCCTGTCCATGTTGGTGGCGTGTGGCCAGAGAACCCAGTGATTGGCATCTGACCCAGCTTCTCTGCCCACCTGCAGAGTGAGTCACTGACCTCTCTGGATCTACGTAATCCATTCTGGGTGGTGGGGTGGTGCTGTCCGGTCCCTCAGATTCTCCCCATGCTGTGTGTGAGGCCTTGCCATTGCTGATGATGAACAAGAAGTCCTGACTGTTGAGGTGTGGTGTTCTGGCCGTGGTCAAGGCACCCACTTCCTTTGTCCCTACCTTTCTTATCTGCTGCTCGCAGACTTTGCAGGGCTCCTTGATTAGTGTTTGGCACCAGTTGTCTTTTTCTGTCTTATGCAGTCATTTCAGGTCTGGGAGAAAGGCCAGGCCCGCATGGAGTAGAAGCAAAGGGAAAGAGCTTCCAAATACTAGGACGTCTGACTTTTAACACAAGGCCTTTGGCCTTGGCACACCGTTCAGTAGGCCAGGCTCATCAGATAAGTAGCACTTAATGAGATATTTGTCTCAGGCCTTGTCTGACTCTTTCTCCTCACACATATTTGATAGTTTTCCTGTAATGTTGAAAATTTTGACTTTTGGGTACTTGTGGCTGGCACAAGGTAGATCCTTTCAGACGTTTGGGTCCATGAGCTAATGCATATTCTCCATGTCTCAGGTAAGTGGAAGTGATTTTAGTACCTCTGAGGAAGCACTGTGAACCCGGGAGTCTAGGGTGTTACCTCTACTCATGCGTCCAGTAAACAGAAACTGTCCCACCCACTTGCTGCTCACAGCCTTGGTGTTTAGAGGAAATTATTATTTTTTCCTTTCTACTTTTTAGAAGCTTCAGTAGGCCCGTCTAGCTGAGAGAAAAATTACTTGTGAAATAATTTTACCAGGAGCATCACTCATGACAACAAATGTCAACAAAATCCAGCTCACAATCATTTCTGCTGTCTCCTGGAGGGGAGTTGAGAGCTAGGGTTTACTCCGAGTTTGTTGGCCCTGTTTTCCCAACTAGATTATGTTCCCGTGAAGGGGTGGTTCTGAGAGCCTTGTGCGCAAGCACACATGGTGTTTGATATTTCAGGGAGCAAAGGGTGTGCAAGCACGGGCACACACCCCTTCACCCTTCTGTCTGGGTGTTTGGAATGTGGGTCACCAGATGTGCCTAAGCTTTTGTGGTTGTAGTCCACGGATCAAATTAGTGACTCAGTAGGAATGGAGGCCTTTAGATTTCCAGAGCATGGCAAAATGATTTCCACAGTGGCAAGTGGAGCTCATATACAGGGCTATATGCATATACATAAACTACGGTACATACGGGGCAAGATTGTGGTGCTGTAACTCCTTCAAACAACTAATAGTTTAGCAGAATGAATGCCAGGAAACTACATCATGAGTTGGGGGGCCGGGGGAGAAAAGAAGAGGGGAGCAGGTGAATGGAGAGAGGAAGTGTGGGTGAATATGGCTATAATATTCAAAGTACATATGTGAAATTGAATCAGGTAGCTTGAGCAGCTGGGGTTGGGAGGGATGGGGGAGAAGGATGGAAGTGGTGGCGTTGATCAAGATGCACTGTACTCAGAAACTGACACATTGACAAGCAGCAGTTGCATGGTGATTTGGAGTGAGGGAGTCCCGGTGGCCTTTATAACCATCACTAAAAAGTTAGTGTCCTGAAGACAGAAAGCAGCACCTCTCGCACAGAGGCCTTGAGATCCCGCATCAGAGTTGGTGGGTCCTTGTACAGGGCTGTGTGATGGAGAGACCTTGTAGCTTCCCCAACTTGGGAACATGTAAGACTCAGGGGAAAGTCCTGGGTCTCACCGAGAGCCGTTAGGCCCCTGTGGGCAGCAGTTTCTCCCTCTGACTAGCAGGAAAGATTTCCGGTGCGTTATCCTCAGAGTTAACTTACAAAGCATCATTCTTGCTTTTGGAAGAACCTCATGTAAAAAAGAACTGGCTGGGCCCAGAGTCACGATGGTTTCTTTGTTCTAGGAACATGAAGACAAGGCTGGAAGCCCAAGCAGGCCACCCTCCCCGAAGCAAAATGTGAGGAAGAACTTGGACTTTGAGCCGCTTTCCACCACCGCACTCATCCTGGAGGACAGACCCGCGTGAGTCTCAGGAAATCTGTGTGCCGTCTGCCTCAGGAGACAAGGCAACTCGCCAGGCCTTTTCACTGGAGAAGAGCGGGATCCAGAGAGGGAAGGAGAGTGGCCATATTACTGTCCCCCTGCCCTCCCCCTCCCCCCGCCGCCACTGCCCACATCAGTGTGTGTTCTCTAATGATACCATGTGGCCCATTGGCATAACTGCCCCCAGCACTCAAGTTTTTCCAGGCATTTCCACTCAGGAAGGTTCTCTTTTAGTTTGTCATTTAGAAATACTTAAGTAGCTACTATACATGTGAGACTGGTTGTGATCTCTGGAGTCCCTGGGCAGCAGATGCTGAAGAAGTGGTTTTTTTTTTTTTTTTGGTTGGTCGTAGGGCTTGAACTCAGCCTGGGTATTGCCCCTCAGCTCTTCAGCTCAAGGCAAGCACTCTTAACACTTGAGCCACAGCGCTACTTCCAGTTTTCTTGTGGAAATAAGAATCTTATGGACTTTTCCTGCCCTGGCTGGCTTTGAACTGTGATCCTCAGACCTCAGCCTCCTGGGATTACAGGCACCCAGCTTGAAGAGGTGTTTTGGGAATGCCTTGGTATTGTAGGGCACTTCCTGCACTGGCCTGTGGGGTTCTTGGGGTCACAGTGAGCAGGCTGTGGCTAATTACAGACTGGGCCCTGTGGACCCATATGTCCACTGTGTGCTATGGACATCATTTGCTCCACTTCGCCGGGTCATAGACCATCTCTTTCTATTTACTCAATTTCCTTAGAACATTGTGTTGGAATAGGAGGTTCTTTGATCAAGAAGGAGAGAGCAAGAAGGCTGGAAAAACATCAAGCTAGTTAATCTCTAAGGCCCCTGTCCACCTCTAACACTTAAAGCAGGTGAAGTCTAAAGAGGAAGTGTGTCTCCTCCTGTTAGTTCTTGGGTCGTGGAAATGGATGTGGGGAGATCCTGGCGCAGAGGACTGCAAGTCAGGATGGCATCGTGTCATGGGAACAGGGCCATCAGTGTGGGATGCGCTGGCTGGCGTCTCCTCAGCCTTTCATGCTGGTGGCAGGCCTGCTTCTCGGGCACCAGGGCTCATAGTCCCCCAGGGAACATGGGTCCTGGCTGTGGTATGTGGATGTGGGCAGATGCAGGCCAGGCACCACTGCCCTTCCCTAAAGTCGACAGCCACTTAAGAGCTATTAATGGGATGCCCAGAATGATTAAAACGATGTATATAAAGAGTAAAGCAAATGAACTACAGAGCTAAACTCATGTATGTATTTATTTATTTTTTATTTTTTTGTTGGTTGTGGGGCCTGGATTCATGGCCTGGGCACTGTCCCTGAGCTCTTTTACTCAAGGCTAGCACTCTACCACTTTGAACCACAGCTTCACTCTTGGTTTTCTGTGGATTAATTGGAGATAAGAGTCTCTTGGACTTTTCCTGCCCAGGCTTGCTTTGAACCGTCATCCTCAGATCTGAGCCTCCTGAGTAGCTAGGATAACAGGCCTGAACTGTTCGCACCCAGCTTTAAGCTCAGTCTTTAAAAAAAAAAACTAGCCAGAGGGGCTGGGAAGGTGGCTCAGTGGTAGAGTGCTTGCCTCGCATGCATAAGGTCCTGGGTTCCATTCCTCAGCACCACATAAACTGAAAAAGCTGGAAGTGGTGCTGTGGCTCTAGTGGTAGAGTGCTAGCCTTGAGCTGAAGAGCTGAGGGACAGTGCCCAGGCCCAGAGTTTAGACCCCACAACCGACAAAAAACAAAACAACTGGCCAGATTAATACAGCTCTGGTTGTGGCTCCGGTGATAAAGTACCTACTGAGCAAGCTCTGGGCCCTGGGTTCAAACCCTACTAGGACCAAAACAAAGAAACCCAACTCCAAACCAAAGCTGAGCCCAACCAGAGAGCCCAGTCATGCTCTGAGGTGCAGACACAAATTTTTTTTTAAGACAAGAGTGAGAAATACCAAATAATTGCTTATTATATTATAGGTAATTGTTTTGTTTTGTTTTTTTGGGTCCAGCCTGAACTCTGGGCCCCGGGCGCTGTCCCTCAGCTCTTCAGCTCAAGGCTAGC